CATGGGAAAAATATTTTTTCTCTTCATGTGTGGCCCTAATACTCCGTCGTACATCATCGTCACGGGAAAAAGGAGCTTTAACGAAAAATTTTCATCATCATCCTGGTTGAAGAAATGAACACTGCTGCACAGACCATGTTTTCAGGAGGACTTTCTCACTTCAACATAGATTCTAACTACTTTCTACCCGCTGATCACAGCTAATATAGCTGCCATTTTTCCAGGCAGAGAAAGGATAGAGTAGCTCCGCCCACCGCGCATCAGACCCACTTTACCACCGCGCAGCTAGAGCAGAAAAGATGCTTCAGCCGCGCGTCAGAACTAAACTGGTAGAAGCATCAGAACTGAAGCAGCTTACATGTTTTAGCTGCTCCTGCTGCTTACGGTGTGAACGTAACTGCTAATGTTTTACATACGCTACATACAGGTCAAAATTGAATGTGTTACCTTGCAAAAAAAGTAACACATTCAAGAAGATCAGGAAATTATTCATCTTTTTCACCTCAATGTTTAAAGATGAATGAAGGACTTTAAGAACAGAATATCAGCTTATGTTTGATGTTGGACAGAAATGCTGAGTCATCTATACACCAGACATCATAGTGCAAACATTTTTCCAGCAGTTCCACTTTTTTAAAACAAAAGTGTTTGTTTTTAAGGGATTTGGAAAATCTGGAGCATCTTCATGTTTCCTGCTCTTCATTTCTCTGAGTAAAGCTTAAAGAGAAGATACATCGAGGAAAGATCATTTAAAGACGTACAGGATGAAAAACAAACTCTTCTTTGTGCATTTAAACCACCGGAGTCACAAAGGTACGGCCAGAGGTCCCCTGGGACATTTTGGGCCCTCAGGGGCCATTTGTGTCCATAAAGGAAGGCTTGTTAGCAGAAGCAGACTTTATGTAAGAACACACACAGGCCTCTCCAAGCACTTAACCCCCCAAACACTGAGTTCACCCAGAGAAGACGGCAATCTGCCTGAAGCACACTGAGAAACAATGCACAGAAAATCAGCCTGTGTTTAATACTAAGCTTAAAACCAGCTTTAACGTCATTTATCCGGGTTTGTGTTTGGAGATTTCCTGCTTTCTGAAAAACTAATCTGCTGGTTGGAAAAAAAAACACAATGATGAGTCTCTAAAATGTATTTTTGTTCATTAGATGAGCTGTCGATGCTAATAGTGCAGTAAAAACAGAAGCTGATGGTTAAACGGTGAAGAACAGCTCCGCTCTGCTGCAGCTTCCATCTCAAACAAACTTCTCCAGCAGCATAAATACTTTACAGTTAACGCAGAAACCCAATCTGCCCGTCAAGGTTTACCACTAATTTGAACTGATGTAACCTTGTCCCCCCCCCTCCCACACACACCACAGACAGCTGACCCCCCCGCCCTCCAGGCCGCCCCTCCACTTCATCATGCTAATTTGAACAAGGCGTTATTCTGAGGCGTGTCAGAGGCGGCTCTGTGGCGGCCGCTTGGCCTCTCCTCGGGTTAATTAGACCAGCAATGGCAGCATTCACAGAACGCCGCAGACAGAGCGGGCCGAGCCGGGCCTCCAGCGCTCAGAGGTGCCAGCAGCCTGCAGCAGGCCGGGATGGGCGGTCGGCTGACTGACAGGGCGTCTACTCTGGGTCTGCAGCCGGGCTCGGAGCTGGGAGGAATCTGCCTGTTTTATATTCTGCTGATTCTCACAAACCATGTGGACGACTGAAAAAAGCAGGAATATAACGAAAACATCAAAAGATAATCAATTACAATATCATAGAAATGTTTTATGTTTGAATTTTATTTTACTGAACAAAAATTATTTTTTTTACAAGCCTTTATT